TTGTCGATGACTGACAGACCACAGTGTCACGTTCACCTGTTGCGCACCAATCACTGGGAGAAGCCCTTGACCTGTTTTCTGAGGCTCGACGTACTTGTAAATGGCTTGTGCCAGAGAAAACCGCTGTCTTGCTGATGCTCTTCTTTGCTGCATGCATTTCTGTCAGTTCTGACGAGAAACAACAGAGGAGTAGCATACTCTCACCTAGCCCTCTGAAACTTCATTCAGGGTTATTGAAACGGACCTCCAATATATATAAGCGCCAACAGGGCATTGATATTAATCTGTTTAGTTATCCCCAATTATCGATGATCCGTTTAACAAAGGAAATGAACATGCAATTCAATCAGAGCTGGTGGTGAGCTTCCGTTCGGCAACCTTGTTTAAGTACCCCATGGACAAAGTAAGATACGATCTAGTGTTGTGATAGTGGTGGCGAGCTCAAGTAAATGTTTCGTCTTCGTTTTCTCACAGGGGTGTAGTATGCAGGATTGGAAACGTAAAATATCAAAGAGACCATATATGCATTAAAGTAGAAGGAATAAAAACGGAAGCCACTGCCGAAGATTCGTGGATATCAATATAAGGAGCGAACACTGGAGAGTGGATTTTCTACATGTAGAGATGCGTAACACTGAAGTTGAGATATCTGAGTATATATTCAGAAAATCACCGATTAAACGTCGTTTGACATTTCCCACTATCTGCCAAAATTGAAAACTTCAATCGAACTAAGTTGGGCGATGGTCTCGAGCTTCCAACAAAATCGACCTTCTCATGGACTCAGTCATTAAAATCCACTGTCATTTGTTACAAACGTCACCCAAGAAACACAAAGTTTCCACTTCTAAGGTTAACACGATGATTTATTTTGTTCAGTTTTCAGTTATTTAGCAGAGAACAGACACCGATAAAATTTTGGGAGTAGTTCGAACGATCGACCTAGCTCTCTGAACGCTTCGACAGCCGGTCAAACGATGGCTTCTCTGTCCAAATTCGCGGACATTTTTCGAAGCTCCTGAACAGGTAACATCCAAGTGCATTCAATCCCTTTCGCACTGAGTGGCCCGAGTTTTACTGAACTTACAGATTTATCTCATAACATAGAAGTATATCCTGGCGGGTGCTTTGTTCCATCGAATGCATACCAAATCAACCAGACGACCCACAGGCTTGATTGAGACCAATAGGGCACCAAGCTGAAAGAGCGGAGTCAATTCAGTAATCTCGCTGCTTAAACGGGCAACCGATCTGATAAATAACTAATAAAAACCGAAAGCTGAATTTGATGGACGAATTTTGTCTCAAGCGGACAACATATATCCGATTCCCTCTTCTTTGATTAACATATACTACTTATAAATCTGCAAACAGTATATCGTGAGACTCAACCGGTTAACCGCCAATGAAAAGAACCCGAGACAAATTGCACCTACCAATACACAAAAACAGCTGAAGGCTACTTAAGGAGGCGCAATATATAGGATCAAACAGTAATCCGTTCAAGTTTTCTTTTCTAGGGTAGGCTAGCTTTAGAAGAAACCCCATTTGGTAAAAAACCCGAAGAGAAGTTTTGACAATTCCCGTTTTCATACTGTGGATACAGTATTCCACCCGTAGGGATATTGAGAAAGCTCATCGCCAGTTTGGTCTCATTGAGCCAACTAGGCAGGTCAAAACGGGCCGAGTTTCACTCAACTCACACTAGTCAATATACAGTAATTGGTGATAGGTTCGTGGTTGAGCACCACTCATTACCTGTCTGATTTATGGAATGAAAGTAAATCGATTTTGTACACGGCTGTTCCGCTAAAAAAAATAGCACGGCAATGCATTTTAACAATGAAAGATACGGAAACCAAAAGCCTACGGATGCAGGCCTGCAAATCAAGACGCATAGTTCGAAGCAAAATAATATCACATGCTTCGAGGAAGATGGTCCTAACGGTTCCTAACAGAAATGGGCATAACTCAACGGGTTATTGTTTGGCTGCATCCGTTGAGTGGGAACTAATTCATTTTACGCACGCTAGATACCAGCTTCGTTCTGGACAGTAACTGGAAGTCATAAACAGTTTGGGCGTCCCTGAATAGGGTTGTCTTCAAAGGAGGAAGACCAGCTCGATGCGGTTTCTCAGAAGTGGCCTCCCCTGGGGAAAAAACAATCAAATAGGATTTTTGCCTTTAGGAACAATTATTTTGCTACAGCTGACGGCATACTATCTTGCCTGAAAATTGCAACCTATATTTTCACAGAGATGGTGTCTTACCCAGTTTCCGTTGTTTCTCATCAAATTTGCGTGGCTGGCCTTATTTCCCACTTCATGCTTTGGTCGAGGTTCCTCAAAAATCTTAGGGAAATTCATCCCACCAATGGGCGTGACGCACAAGGTACATTTTCTGTGATTGTTATCGAACTGAACACGAATACCAACAATCACGTGTAACCTAAGTAACATGCAAAACTTCCGAATCGATTAGTGGCTGAATGGGCAAGTGAGCTACAGGGAGTAAAAATACTATCCAACTTCTGCGTCATGCATTTACTCGGAATTCTTCGCAGTTCCTCCAGTTTGTTACCGGTTTACTCCAGCAAAGCTTGGAAAAACGAATTCACCAAAGCTTTTTTGTAGGTTTCGAAAGCATCAGACATAATCCGATGCAACTTACTACACGTATCCACTTATTCTGTATTACCGTCGAAAATATCTCTATTGTCTGATTACTTTGATATAAGAGATCTCGTGTTTCTACGATTATGTTGCTGAGTAGTTGTACCGTTGATGGTGACAGACTCGAAGCCCTGTTTTGTTACTAGTTAGCGGTTTCTATTGATGTACTGCAAGTATGTTTTAGGACACATACAGCCAGTTGAATTGCATCGGGTCAGTACACGTCCAGGTGAACTACAGTAGCCTGGACAAGTAGAAGGCAATCTCAAGTAAAACACCATACCCAGTAGTAGTCTCACATGAGGTCAGGCTAAACAAGACGCCGTGCGAAATCTTGTCTATATTTCATTGTTACACTGAACGCGTGACTGCATTTCAGCCAAAGTTGCTCACAAAAGTGCACGGATTCAATGTTGGGTTCGGCGATCCCGTTTACTGTATTTCCACTTTGTAACAAGGGAACTTCGCGAACACACAAGCGTCAAATTGCACGTCAGACAAATGGGCAATAGCTTGTACCCCAAGGTCCAGCAGAACATCCAGAAAACCAGCCCCAGGTGGTCTCTACAGATGCCGGCAATCACTGTTAAAAGCTAGCGAAATTCTATGAATTGATAATAGCATGTTGGCAAGACGCGTGTTTGTTGACAGTGCGTTGTTCCTCAAGCAATTCGTCAAGACGGCCCCCAAGATAAATTTATACTACTGGATAACTTATCAGTACGATCATTCATACGAGAAATTTCCATGCGGTCGATCGCCGGAACAACGGGAAGCAAGCCACGTTGTTGTTGAAATGATCAAAACTAGGCGGCAGCCCATTCCCACTTGGTCCGTTTCCAAGATCATCCCGCGGTCGTCGGTTCGGATTTGAACCAATTTTCAGCTTATTAGAGCACCGAATTGTAAATGTTATAAACCCAAGTGCCGTAAACGCAGAATTCAAAAGTTTTGAATTAGGCCCTCGTTTGAGCTGACTGGTGTTTACACCGGATAATAGCAAGAAGCATAGAACCCGCAGCGGACAGTGTGTTTGGATCAATCTCACTAGCACCATATGCTTAAGCGGAAGAACTGTTGGGCAATATGACACCCAAGGGAAGACTTATTCCAGGAGACACCGCTCCTTTGGAGAGTAAACAACAACGTACTCGATCATACACGATGTATTGTAAACTTTCCCTGGCCCTGACACACAGGTAAGGTCCCAAGACGAAGTGGAAATCTCTTCTGCGCAGTTCCATTTTACTGATAGAAATTCGTCTAAGTGAGCCCGAAGGTAGACGTCACGCTGGAACTACGGTTGAAGGACGACCTAAGCGAGTGATTCGCTTAGGTTCAAATGTATTAAGAAAAAACAGTAGACCACTCGATTGCTTCGCACTGCATACAAGCTTGGTATTTTCGGAATAAAAAGACGATTCCATGGAAAAGCCGTCAGCAAAAACACTCCCTTATGGACTGGATAGATGTTGCGCTACGTTCAACCTTGAACTGACCATCACCCGTCATGTTTTCACCTTCATCATCATCATCGACAGCATGACATCAGTGTTCAACACCGATGCTTCCCTGCCGTACAACCATGACTTATTTGAAGGCCTTATTGTAAAGAAAAGAATAAAGGTGGACGGGGAAGGGACTCAATGCTAGCTTAACACAATCATTCCGAGGTGCCTACACCTCCAGACATTCACTCAGGCAATCTGGATAGAAACTGACAACAAGAACGCCACTGACATCGGTTGGCAGCCATCTCTTGTAGTGTCTCCAACCAGGCACAGTGAGGATCACGCGGTCCCCATCCTGGAAGGCGAGTAGCACCGACAGCACCCAAGCGTTTCGTGATCTCCTTCATACTCCTCTGCCAAGTCAAGGGTTGGCCACCTCTGAGTACAACTCGCCAACGAGCACTACTCGGTCCACTCCTAGTTACCTAGATAAATCTCCCCACCACTCGTATGGTGGTCGTCTTGTCTATGTTTGTGTGCCATCTCGTGGATTAAAAAAACGTTCCTCGCCCGACTGCTGGAGGCTTCAAAGAACAAGAGGAAACTGAATTGGAGAATTATTGTCTCCAGTGTCACTTAGGTGGAGGAGTGCTGCAAGCGTAATATAAAAATTCGGAATGGGCATGGGCGCTCCTGTCTTTCGAATTTTGGTCATAAGCCGTTTAAATGGCCTCGCTGTGTATGCTGTGCAGTAACTTAGTTCACCTAGCAGAGGGATCAGACGAAACGATCGGTGCGACTCGATGGTTCCTGCGTAGTGAAACTGTCACGATGAAATTGAAGAAAACGGACAATTTATCACAATAAACATTGATGCCGAAATGCTGCTAAAATGGACATAAAATACAAAGGTCAGAGGGAGTGTAGATTCGAACTGGAGATAAGCAAAAGCAAATGAAAATATTATGCAAATGTTGTACATTCGTTATGGAGATCACTGAAACCAGTACTGGGATGGATTGAGACACGGGAAGGGGAGCGCGGATGTCGAAGTGAACAATGAAAAAAGTTGCATAGTTCTGTACAAACTGCAGTCTATACATGAAGCCACATGTTGGCCGGGGCAGAATCCATCGACAAGACGAGATAAGTCTGCACACATATTCTACTTTTTCCGTGTTTGTGTGCTACACCCGTTGACCTGGGAAGTAGTTGGGATTGAACGGTAATGGAGAGTCTTTCCGACTGGCCCTAAGAATGATGCAGCCGAGGAATAGAAGAATTAGAGCGATTGCAGCCCCCACAGCGATTCCAACAACTTCTCCATTGGTCAGCTGTAGCGGACGTTCTCCACCTGAGTTCGTAGCATGAAAATAAGTGAGAGCGATCAGAGTGAGGGGATGGAAGCCCGTGAAAATGGATGGGACAAGCTACAGATATTGGACTTCTGATGGCACACCTCCTGCGCACTGGTCCCCAGCGATCAACGAAATGGAGAAGCACACAGTGAAAAACATTCATACAAAACAGCCAATTCATAGTCATAATAGGAACATCCGAGTTCAATCGCAACCAGAAGATACAACCTAATATCAGAGGACCTTATGAATCTGGCGGGCAGGCATTTAAGTTGTGGACACTACAAGCTTTTGTTCGCCGTACAAAAACCTAACAAACTCTTAAATTATCCTCCACAAATCAAACTCATGAAACTGGCTTCATTCGTGGAACCAGCTGCTCTTCCCGTAGGAAACAACCACAGAAAAATAGACGCATGCTTTTCGCGGATATATGATGAATGGCCTGAGGAGCAATGTCACTATCGATCGGATGATTTGTACCCAACAGGTGTGACAGTACAAAAGTGTAGGAGCACTGTTCCACGAGGTATGACTGAGCCAAGATGTCGTCGTGTAGACTGTGGGGGCTGACTCACAGAAACACACAAGTGGACAGACATCAGTCGGTCTGTCTCCGTCTGTATGGTATATGCTCACATCTAAAAGGTAGTGGTGAGAATGCAATAGCCGATAAACATCAGCGTGAGGCAACCTCTTATTCTATGGTATGTGCAGAAATACACTGCACTGAGGAAATGATCCACAAAAGCATGTGACGTGTTTTCGACCAAGAACTATTCCGCTTGCCTGTATTGCCGTGAGGTGTGAATTGTGAATCATACGTGCAAAATATGGTTCGATTCCCGAGATAGACAATGATATCGGTGGGTAAAAACAATAGTAAAGAAATAAGTGTATATGTGGAGCAGGCCCATGCGACATTATTTGGAGTTTGAAGTCCTGTGAACATCTGAAAAGTTTGAACAAGGTTGCAACTCGTTCAAATTATTTAGAGAATGCACTAATTTGCAAATCAATGTGGTTTTCATGAATCTCTCGTTTATGATATTCTACAACTGAATTTGCTGCACACAGGCTGCCTCATGATTCAGTTGGCAAGACATTCGAGATATCGCAGTATATTTTCATAAAGGAAACTACTCACAAGGTTGCTGAAAACTCTTCGACAGCCGACGACCGATTTCGCCCTTCTTGGGGCTCATCAGGTAGGTGCTGTTCCCGAGTTTTCGTCAACAATATGATCCACTTGAACTCAGATTGCACGAAATTAGCGAAATACACTCAGCTGCAAGCTAATTTGGTGGAAACTCAACTGGAACTTAATTGAATCTCTCATAAACGAAGGATTCAGCTGAGTTCCAACAATTGATTTGCAAATTAGTGTATTTCTCGAGAACAATCGAATTTGGGTTCAAGTAGAACACAAGGTTGACGGAAACTCGGGAACTGCGCCTACCTGATGAGCCCCAAAAGGGCGAAACCGGTCGTGGGCTGTCGAGGAGTCTTCAGCAACACTGTGAGTGGTTTTCTTTCATGAAAATATTTGGAGAATGCTTCGATGAGTGAGTAAAAACGCCATTAATGGTCATTCGATTATTCCATAACTGAACCGTTCTGTAAAACTATTCGAAGAAAAACTTGCTGTCCATCAGTCCGAGCAGTCGGTCTGTATGCAAAGTTTGGAAAGCAATCGTTGACTGGACAAAAGCGAGGTGGTATATCTACTTCCCGGGGTTACCTATTCTCCACACAATGCACGGACAAAAGTAAAAAAACGAGCGCAGATGATGTGTTTATCTGGAAAACTAAGCAGTGCAAAACCTTGATTAAACAGCAATCCTGGTCGACGCAGGAACACACGCCTCCGGAAATAACATCGATGGTAAGCCGTTTGTCGGCATTCGGTTAGGTGCACTGGCGCGCCAAAGAATGAACACAGGCAAAAAAAAGTTCCTTTAGGTTCACGTGAGAGCGATTAACTAAAGGAATGCGACATGCGACAAACAAACACACATACAGACAAAATGCACGCAGGCCAATGCCCATACATCGGTCATAGGTGGTCAGAGCAGGCCATGCACAATGTCCCAAAAGGGGAAGGCAGGTTGGAACTATGTATGTCACATACGTTGACGCCCTTTCTTCTGTCCACTAAGCAAGGCACGCTGCCCGTCCAGCTCAAATTGGTCTGGTGAGCAAACAGACAAAGGGGCAGTTGAATTAGAGTGAGCAGACAACAATTCTGTTCACACGGTGTCTGACACAGGGTGGCAAGCAGGAAGGATGGAACAAGAGACACTCAGACATGGCATAAGGTTTCTGCTCGCTAAAAACTGAAATTGGAAACATCGTCAAACACACCTTCCAACCCCAAGTGGAGTGGTATGCTCAGCTTTCGCATCAGGTTTACATCTTAAGGCACACCCATTAACCAACCGAACCTTGTTGCCACCAACAGAGAAACATAACTGTTCGATTTGCTTCCCCTCTTCAATGAAGTAAGTGAAGTAAAACTGCTGGGCTGGATACACCTAGTAAACCGAATATAATCCTGTGCATCAGCAATTCAAACAAGTAGAAACAGACGAGTACGTGGAGTACAGTTCAGGCGGGCTGTCAGTATCTGTCAGTTACCAGATAACTCAGTGGTTAATGTGCAAACTTACCAACCAGAAGGTTCGTGGTTCGAACCCAACCCCAGTATCTTAAATGCTCCTGTCCAGTTTTGGGCAACCGGACAGTATCTCAGCCCTCCTAGTGTCTTCGGGTGGCGTGCCAGCTATGCGCCCAAAGGGTGTAACACCCGAACCATCACCGTGAGGAGCCGTAAGGACGGAATCAGTAGCGCCTCATTTTGCGATGGTTACTTTTCACGCTCACCCGCTCTTGCTAGACGAAAATCTGCGCACAAATCCCCCTTCAAGAATTTCATCCGCAAGCAACCCTTTTTAAATATTCTCCGGACAATAGTAGACACAAAGGGGAATGTTTCTTGAAATTCTTGAGAATTTCGTGTCACGTAGGCAAGTCAGTGATAACCAGCAAAGAAGCGTAACCCAAGTGAGAAAGGGAACGAGTCGACTGCGTGGAGCTCTATATGATTAGGCTGAAGAGTGCGGTGATGTGCACTGCACGCAAAGCAGAGTCATTGCAACTCTTATTCAAGTGTTTCAGCATTCATGTGCCGCATTTCCTTGAACCGCACAACGCATTCTCTGTCTCGTGTACATAAGATTATGATAATCAGTAGTTTTATTAGTAGTGTGTTCCCAAGGGTGGGTGCAATTACCTGAGTTAAATAAAAATAAACACGTTCAAGTGGAAAGTGGTGAACGTTATTTTAAAAACCTCCAAAGTGGTTGTTGTGTGTGAACAACGTAACCTGTTGTGGTACTAATCTGGACATGACGCTGACACTGGCCCACACCATTTGGCAAACGGGCTTTAAAAACACTCGGCGCTGTTGACGAACTAAAATGACCGTTGAGTGCGCGTAAACAAATACCAGGTGAATGGAGACCACACGTGTGTGCTTGCCCCTTTCACGAAGCCTAGACGTTTTGTACACAACAAGATTAAATGCTTACAGTAAAAGTAGTAACTTTCAACCTTTCAATCTGTGATCATACACTGCAGCGTTACCGGGAAGCAGAACGAATAGGAGTGTGCGAACAGAAACCTTATGGAGGAGAGCTGTACAAGTTCATCTACGTTGGGACATAGAGAAGAACCGAAACTGAGCGATTCGTACTGTTTTGTTCGAATGTTCGTTCCCCGAAATGAATTAAGTGTGTCCGACATTGCAAAGTCACAACTCAGAGTGATGAGTCAACCATTAGCCCGCCTCATAAGCGTAGTGGCGGGTTAGCATTCACCAAATAAGTGTCTGGTGGAGTTGATATCCGAATGCCTCGGATTAATCGGTCCCGCTGTTGGTGAGTAGTAGTTAAGAGGGGTAAGCAAACGTAGCCAATTGAGTGGAACACAAATCAAGGCATTGGAACAACATTTGTGCCTCAGAGAAAAATGCATCACCTACAGAGAATAGCGTACCGTTTTCTTAAATAGGCTCTACAGAGACTGAACAGCGGTTCACGCGCATAACCGTAGGTCCGAATAGGACATCTACTCAACATCACAGGCTGCAAATGTATACAGGGAAACAGTTTCCTGTCTTTTTGGATTCATGTTGTTGGACCATGGAGTCTTAGTAATTGTCAAGGTCGGTTCACCCTGAATTTTCGCACCTGAGGATATAAAGTAAACCAAATCAGTCGAGAAAGGATTCGTGAGGTCTTCACTCCAACGCAGTGCACTGCTTTCATCGTGGCATTCCGAGTAAAAGAGGATGGACGCTGGAATAGTAGGAACAGAATGGCTTGTCTTAAACTGACAAATGCTTATCTAAGCAACCATTGTTTGTTTTAGTGACCGCACTAAAAGCCACAGATATAATCAGGGGTCAACAACCCTGTATTTCTGCACCCTAAATGAGTCACGGCCAGTGGCATGTGAAGTTCAGCTTACTACTTATTGTTTGACGTAGCTTCAATGTTGTGGTTATCCCATGCTGAACAAACTTTAAATATCCGCACCGATCATCATGTCAAAACTGCGGCAACCTGACAACATGACGGCATCTAGACAGGAGAACTGACGGAAAGCCCCAAACCGAATAGCTCTGATAAGCAAACAAAAGATCAGTTTTAGCGCGGCGAGAAAACAATGTGGAAATGCCTTTAAAATGTAAACACCGCACTTCATATTGTACCGGCGATCGAGCAAACGTTTCACGTTAATGATAAAATGAATGTTCCAACTAAAGTTATCTGGTAGCTTATGGACAAGGTCTAACCCATCCTACATGATTGTAAACGATGGTAGATGGACTTATCTCAAACTCAGTCGACCAATGCAGTGAGTAGTGGATGTAGTGTTGAGCAGACACCAGGGAATTGGGATCACTGAAATGGCACGCCAAAATAATCGTGTGGATGAACTCCAAGCCCCAAACCGAATAGCTCTGATAAGCAAACAAAAGATCAGTTTTAGCGCGGCGAGAAAACAATGTGGAAATGCCTTTAAAAATGTAAACACGCACTTCATATTGTACCGGCGATCGAGCAAACGTTTCACGTTAATGATAAAATGAATGTTCCAACTAAAGTTATCTGGTAGCTTATGGACAAGGTCTAACCCATCCTACATGATTGTAAACGATGGTAGATGGACTTATCTCAAACTCAGTCGACCAATGCAGTGAGTAGTGGATGTAGTGTTGAGCAGACACCAGGGAATTGGGATCACTGAAATGGCACGCCAAAATAATCGTGTGGATGAACTCCGGGTGCGCAGAAAGAACGCTCGTGTAGTATATTTCGGAAATGGCTGAGCCGTGGTAATGTGGCGTGACGAAGAAGGAGACTGTTTTGAATATTACGCGCTAATCTCATGTTTAAAAGAAAGTCTAGGCTCAAAAAGGCCCATTTCAACCAGCCTGGTTCAAGTCCATGGTGAGTTCGTGCTGCGTGCAAAGCGTTTGTGCCATGCCCCCCTATCAGTGAATTTGTGATCGAATGAATGACTTCGTCAGGTGGTTGCTGTACGGAGGATCATATAGACACGCAAAACGAGTCACAACAACAGAGAAGTTAGAATTCTCTAGAATGCTCAGGAGGGAAGGCAAAAAAGACCACCATTATTGAGACTGCCCTATGCAGAAAGCAGGGCTCTTCATATGATCGTCGGTGAGACGACACTTTCGTTTGCTTGCTAAACACCCCAGCATGCTTGACCAAGCCCCCCCCCCTTCATCTAGAGAAAAGGCTCACGCGTAAACCGTCGGAAATTACTTCACACATGTGTTATTCTATCCCGAAACATAAAGCAAAAGGTGAAAAATAGTTCACAATGGACTTTTTCAGCACGGTACGCAAACTTCCGGACGCCTAAACGACCACAGCTTTCATGTAACACCACAAAAACCAATCAAAAATTAAGCTGACAATCCACAATACTCATTCTCATACCGCTTCTTTACTTGCAGAACAAAAACTTTGGAAAATTCCCAAAACCTTCATACTACCAGAGAGAAGGATAACTCATCCAATGAGTGGAACCTCCATCTGAGAAGCTGTCACCCGAGGAACAGGTCAGCACGTGAACACGTGAAGGCGATTCCGTGATTGAAGGATGAGTCGCGTGAAATCCTGTCTAGATGCGAGCTAATCACACTGCTCATCACCCGTTCACGGCTAAAAGATCCCGGGTTGCGAACTCTCTGGAGTTTCATGAGGTGCGCATTGCATATGATTACCAAAAGGAGTAAAGCAAGCTGTTGTCATACTTGAGAGCAGTTAGCGGGAGAGCAATGGACCACGCAATTTAGCTTGGGAACGACAATCACCAAATCGGTTGTATATGTGATTAGTCACACAACTCTTTCATCAGGCAATCATATGCAACGTGGCTGAGCCCAACGTTGCCTGTCCTCATGCCCTGTACTCAAAACAAAATGGGCATCTTTGGAACACTGGGGTTGATCGGAAGGTGCTAACCACACAGCCAACTCACCTACGTCGGGACGAACTGACAAATCGAGGCAACTGAATTAAGTCTGTTTGTCTATTCGCCTCCCAATAGCGCAGCTTTAAATATCATAGCCGCGGAAAGTGTACGTGGAACACAAATCGCTGTACAGGAGGTGGCAGTGATCGCGCAAAACGAATAACGGTGTCAATTTTGTGTTGGACGTAAAGGTAAACGCAAGGTGACATGGTTCACCGCACTCCATACACACACACAGACACAAACAAGTCTCTGCCGAGCACGAACGCGTAAGTCCACATTCCTGAATTACAAAGTTGCACCTAACGTGCCAATATTCGAAATCCAACATGCAAAGCGTGTTAAAGTCAGTTAGTTGGTCGAACCGGAGAGTCAGTGTGCCGAAGCTTAATTCTCCAAAGTTCAATAAGTGTTATGTCGTTTATTTTCACTTTCAAGGGGAGACAACATGACAGAATAGGTGTAGTCTCCATTTTAAGAACACTTCGAAAAATTTCGTGTTCCAAACATCTCACTTCTAGCAGATTACATTCGTCAGCCAAGGCAGAACGTATACCAACGCGGGTTAGCCAGCCGCGAAAATGGATGAATTCACAGCCATCTATTGCCTAAACCAATGCTTCAATGGGCTCTATCGTACGTCTTTACATTGATGCCGTTTGGACGCGCGATAAAATTTAGGGAGCTCCAACTGATTCGTCTACTTTATCCGTCCCAGTGAGTTGTGACCAGTTTTCTAACGGAACAGGAACCTGGTTGTTATCACAGACTGTCGGATAACTGTGATCCACAGTTGTGAGCCCATAGGTGTTGTACCGTGGGGTTACCAGACTCTAAGGCTTGTATAGATTAATTTTGCGACAACACTAGGCGGGGGTAAAGCAACCTAGCTTCGACAGCGCCACTGCTAATGGAAGACAGCTAGTCTCGTGGTGGAAACGTACAATCTTTGCCAATGTACAATTCCCGGTGTGCGCCTTCATTTTATACCATCCCATCAACCCCAAACAAACACCTCCAGGATTCTCCGTTTCTCACACCGAACCGGTGCCGTTTGCAACGTTACAGTCCTGACAGTATGTGCGACGCGATGCCGTTGAACAGTGCCGGGATGCGTGCTGGTCCCGTGTCATGGTTGGTTCCAATGTCGGCGCAGTTTGTCTCGCGTGACTCAAAGAAATACGGAAAGTCATCCCATTCACGCAAACCGGTGTCATAAGCAGATAGTAGGTAGTTAAGAGAGACGGTAGAAAAATGCAGTCCCACGAAACATGCCCTGAAATCCCAAAAACACCGGGAAAAGTTAATGTGCTCGATGAAACACAAGTTATGATACAAGTTAACATTGTGCTGACGGGAGACTAAACTGAATCCCTCATTTACGGTGTTCTTCAATTGAATGTACTGCACAGAGTTTGTTTCGTGTTTCACTTAACATGATATTTGTGATGTCGCAGTATATTCTCTTGACGCAACATAAGAGCCGTTCAAATGAGCCTCCCTAACCCCAGCTTCACTTTATCAAAAACCTATAATTATGTGTTCAAGTAGAACACAAGGCTTCTAGAAATCCCCGAACTATTCCCAACTGATGAGTTCCAAGCAGAGCAAACCGGCCATGGGTTGTCGGAGAGTTTTTGGCAAACTTATGAGAAGTGTGTTCCATCAAGAAGGTTCAATTGCTATTCACATGGTGCGAAATAAGATGGGTGGCACGTGGCAATGCACTTTAGGTGTTTCATTTCACCACAAGTGGATCCTGTACTGTACGGTTGTATGTGCTTTGTCTGGAAGTGGCCTCTACATGAGGGTTTCATCTATTTTGAGAGGGGAAATTGGATAATTGAAAAACGAGCCTTAGGAGACGAACTTTATATGGAGAAACCAATCCGGGAAGGGATGGCTGTGTGTACTCATGCCTAGGGCGAACGATATCCTCTGGTTACCCAACTTGTCCACGACAATTTTAATGTTATGACTCGATTGATAAGAAACACTTCAGAACCTGTGGAAGTCACCATCCGTAAACCGTCAGTGAAGAATAAATATGACCAAACTTTGTCCTATCGCTATCCTCTGTGAGTAGTGAGTTACATTCACTGCACTTCTGAAAACATGCCCTGTGGTTGGCGTAAAAAAACGGCGCACCTTTCGCCTTCACAAGGCTTGGATGCTGTCGCGAGTTAGAGACCACTGAACTTGTGAGCATTGTTCAACTGAATTTAGTTAAAAGACCTAATAATGAACACAGTTCACTCTACACTTGATGAAGAGTGTCGTAATTGTGTCACTCGTTTTAGTTAATCTGCGTCGCGTGCATGTCGGAACGGAGCGACTTTTATATCTGCGACTGGTTCCTAATGATCGGACAGAAAAATCCGCCTGACTAGTGCAGCGCAAAAAAGCACTTTTTCACGAGGCAGCCCAGTTTGACGCCAGTGGTGGATAGCACTCGGTCAAAACTCTTGAGGTTGAATTCGCCTCGGTCCCTTCACAACTAGTGTAAAACTGACTGAACACAGTCAACGAACGCTCTTTGCTGTAACTAGATGAGAAGAGAGATGTGGAAGTTTCTTCAGGGCAGTGTTCCCTTTCAAAAACCTCCAAACAGAAGCCAGGAAAAGACCTTTGTGGTGAAAGTAAAAAGGTGAAGGACAGAGCAATCCTTTTTCTGGCATGCTGTGCAACTTTTGAAAAGTCGAAGCCCGCCATAACCGGGAAACCGAACGTCTCTGGTGTTTTAGAACTACGTAAGTAGCCCATCTGGTCACCGATCATATTTCCATGTTTCGACTCCGTTATGTCGCATGGATCCTCAAAATCAAATGATAGCCATGCTAGGAGGATGATGATAACCCCGATTCAAAAGATTTGCGGCATCGGATGCTTTATGGTTGTGTGCGGTCCTTCACATATTTATGGTTCTAGGCTTTTTAGTGTAAAATGAAAATATGGAACCAAGGGGTCTATTTTACTGATTTTCTCTGAGAAGAACCCAGTCTATCGATAAGCTCAGGGGAGTCTTGCATCTGAAAAAAATCGCTGGGTTGGGCAGTCAGTGATCAAGAATGTTCGCTTACGATAGGAGAATCAAGCTAAAACGGGTCGACCACAGCTCAAATGACCTACCCGGACAAAGAACGTAGACGTGTCGTGTCGGGGTGTGATCAATGTACTGACGTCCGGTGACCGCACACTGAACTTCATTCAATCCAATAAGACCTAGTTCAACACAATTGACATTTAACGTGGACGTCGTCGTTGTCATATCCTGTGTAGAGGGGGACAAATCACACGTCTCCGAGCGGATTCGATTCGGTCCAGCTATGGTGGTGCCCACTCGACTGGCGGTCTGTAATGAAGGAGAGAACCGCTATTCGCCACCAGGAATAAATTCACGGACTGACGGATGCAAATGAATGATCGTACAAATCCCTCTTGCAAATCATGAAATGCCAAACCTGTCCCTTAGTGAGAAGCCATCCTGCAGAAGTGAGGACCATCGAATGTGTTTGCACGAGGTACTGCTACCCTACAGCATACTGATAACGTCAACTCGATTAGTGACGCGCAGTTTGCAAAAAAACCATCGGGCTCAGTAAGTGATTGAAGCGACAAAGTGACCAACCTACAAACTTACATTGCTCAATACCCTGTCTGGAAACAAATAACGGAATGCATTAATTATATACAAAAGCATTTTAGTGAAAAGGCAAGCCTACTCGTCCGGACACTTCGGAAAGTGTGAAGACCATATTGAGTGTATGCAAAGGGCTAAGACAGGACTGAGATTCGTACTTTTGCTCGCCTAAATAATTCCCCGAGTCTGGTTCATAGCAGGTAAGCTTCTGTCTTTTATACTCGCAATTCTTTTCCACTTTGGAGTCTCTTATTCGGATGACTCCGGCATCAAACTGATGTCCAACCTGTGCTCCAATCGAAATGGACACAGTTGGCCAGTGTTTCACCTCGTTCGAGAATTTTCGAAGCTAGAATATCATGTACAACCGTCTACAGAAATCTACAATATGCATTTTTGACATGGACTGGCATAGAGAGAAACAAGAGGAAGGTATAGAATGCAACGTGGTCTCCCATGCCTGCTTGACGGGTAACAGCATTTAGCAAACGAGTCGTTCTACGTGCATATGAAAAAACACAACTCGTCTAGACGAGACATACTACTCATAAGGTTACAAAATAGCCTTATTAGTATCATGTTCTGTTTAGAGCTGCTTGTTAAAACCACATTAGTGTGCAACTGAGTACATTTCATCAAAATGAACCGCTTTTTCGATGTTGCAATAAAACAAACCCGATATGACTTTAATGCTTTGCAGTAAACTATTTGGCGTGTAATGATAGCCTAAATAAGACCCATGCGTGGATACAGGTCTTCCGTTTTCAGTTTTTTTTTTTTTTCCAAATCCTCTGAGATCAATATGGGTCCGTAGATATGGGAATATGACCACACCTACGTCCGTTCAGACATATTGCACTGACTCAGTGAATAGTGTTCACGTCAGAGTTGTTTTGTTAGGTTTCTACCATGAAAAGTGACATGGTCAGATATTTTCCACTCATACTCCCCCTTGCTGATGGATTAAGTTTCCTCGCAGGACACAGTTTACCGTATTTCGGTAGCGTCAAAGGGTCGCCCTTTTGATGAAACCCTGACCAAGGCGAACGATTTATCCATAGGTGATTTGGAGAGAGCAGTTACCGAATATAAGCCGGATACTTGGGTAAAATGTTAGCAACTCAGTGCACAAACAAATTAACTAACGTTCCAGATGATCAGTAAGTCCCATGCCATCTAACTACTAAGCTGATATAACAGCCGTGATGTTTCTATTTCCGTTTTCCAAAAAAGTATCGTTGCCACCAGTGAAGAGAAAACACCAGTGTTCAGTAGCCCATTCGGAGGCTGGCGGAAAACGGAGTGTAATCAGGCCAGATATAGACGCGTTCACGCAGAGATAGGACAAAAACTATTGATTGTTGTATGCTGAATGAGGTATCGCCAGAGAAGCTCAACCTACCAGAGTTTAGTGCTGACAATATGGGAGAAAGAGAAACGTTCATTTGCCGATACATTCGACATGAAAACATGGGTACATTGAGTTCAGAGTACGTACTATCGCCTACAAGCATCCGTGGACAAAGCCATTAGGCTAATCCCAGAGGTGGAATAATAATCACACAGCTTGTTCTGGTTAGCTAACTGAACACACATATATACACACACTGGGGCGGAAATACTGGGACAAAATGATATATAACAACGCACTAAAAGCCTTGTCCAATGAAGCTTGAATAGAGGGGAGAAGGAAATGCACGCTTCATCTGACAGTTGCTTTCAATGATGGCCCCGTATTGTAATGCAATGCAACTGAAGCTAAATTCAGTGAGAAACTAATCAGCTGTTCATCGCCAACCACGGATAACTAAACTGGTATGTAGGCACGTTGTAGAGCCGTCCTAATTTCGTTCATCGATTATTGGAGTGGGCAGATGTACGTTGAAAGCAACAGGTGACACACTGAAAGCGTGTCAGATATGGGAATGCAATGCAGACAACAGTTCAGACATGGCACACCCGAAGGTATACCGCTAGAAATTGCCCTTCAGTAGCTCCTCTACCAATCGATGCATCCCAGGGTAGTCCCCCGGGACGACGGCAACTGTTAACTTGAATGTGTTTGCTGGATTTTACCCCTCGCCGCCAACTTAAAACCTGGGTTCTCCAAGTTCCACGCACAGTCGGGCGGATAAGCCTCTCCGGGGAATTTAGCTACTTCCGTATACTACAAAATTACTGGTGTCAAATGAGATTGTGTTAGCTAGTAGTCCAAGAACGCAGCCTGCATTACAATGGAGAACTCGGCCTCTAGACATGAATTAGAGAAAGCCACTGGAAGCACTATCGCTCGACGAATTTTCTACTGTCGAATGCGAATGTTTATTGAGCGCGTGGCCAACGATCCTCGGACCTTTCATCTTCACTAGACAACAAATAAGTCACTAGAAAAAGCAAATTCATCCAAACAGTTGTCACTGACGATCAGCTATTTAGAGGCGTGAGCCGACGCCCGTCGAAAAATTATTTCATGGTTTAAGTCATCAATCCATATCAAAACGTGTGAGCGATGGCAACATGGTGAGTGTTCTGGGTTAGTTGAGTTCCACGCAGGGTAAGCTAGCTCAATTCCTGAGTTTTATAACTATGATGGTCACGGTGAAAGAATTAGGACGGACGAAAGTACTTAAAAAGCTTATTAGCAACCAAGCAGTTACAAACTATTGCACGTCCCATATAAACATAGTTTTTAAGAATTGAACATTCCCACGCGTCTTCTCAAACTTTCATGGATATTCGTTGACTGTCACACAGTTGTAAACGAACACTGCAAAGCAGTTCCACGAGTTCCGTACTAAACTTCACCTTCCAGTAGACGCGCGGCGGGGCGCAGCTTCAACACGATCACTGGCTACTCGCATACCCCAGCAGTAGTATACGCCTTTAAAATAGTAGCCTATCTAAACTCCGGGAAAGCTGGATGGAAAAGTCACTTGGAGTGTCGACGTATTGGGCTCATGGGCGTGCAATAATCAAGTAAGATTTGAATATTGTTCAATAGTACTAAGAAGAAACGTACGCGATTAATCCGAACCTAGATAGCCAGTGGGCCTACATCCACCCCGAAGAGTTCTGTTTCCCAGGATTTCCCTACTGTCACTTACCTAGAGTCTACATCATTGAATTTTCCATTCCACGGTCTTGTAAATACCCCCAGAACTTTGCATATTGGCAGCATATTTGCTATAGTCAACCTGGTTCACACAGTGCACAAAGGCATGAATAACCGCGTGGGAAAAGCTGTAAGCTGGAACGGGCGGTACAATGACCTCTTTACATCCGTTCTACAACAATTGACTTTTTTTTGCTAGCAGTCCGCCGTCAAAACAAGCCATGATGAGATAAGTTATCGCTACATAATTTACTGTGGAGGCGACATTATCGTAAAACAGAACAACTGCCAACAGCTGTGAAGGCCATAGAACAGGTGCACCACAAAGGTTGGAGGAAAATGGCCAATCTTCAGCCTATAAAATATGAACGCTTCACATCCTTAGGCAGTCTTCCCATGGATATGCAATTTCGGCAAGCACTGTTGAAGATTGATTGTGAGAGACTACCACTTGGAATTCCAAGCTGCTGAGGGATAAACAGCGACACCCACTCAAATGGTGAGTTAACCTACTGGCACAGTGAATAACAGAACAGAGTTTGAGAAACACACTCATTTGCAAATCAATTTGGTTTTCACGGAAGACTCAATTGGATCTCTCGTTTATGTCCTCCAACTGAATGTGCCGCACACAGGCCGCCTCATGATTCAGTTGGCACGATATTCGAGATATCGCAGTACATTTTCATAAAGGAAACTACTCACAAGGTTGCGCCTACCTGATGAGCCTCAAGAAGGGCGAAACCGGTCGTGGGCTGTCGAAGAGTTTTCAGCAACCTTGAGTAGTTTCCTTTGTGAAAACAGATCAGATTGTTTGTAATGCGGAGAACCAGACGGGACTATGATCAAACGCGACCGACAACCGCCTAGTCCTACATGAAACATGGCAGCAAATTTTGCTTCGACCAGCGCTTTGACATTTCGATAGTGCGGGAAACGCGCCAATAGTTCATCCACCGAGGTTCTAACAGGTATACATTTGTTCGATGGCAGTGATTACTGCAATCGTGTTTCGGCGCTGAATCGTTTCCCACGGACCCGCTTTCCCTCGACCTAAAGCTGCCACCTTGACGTGGTGGTCGGGTTTCAGTGATGCAATGATCCCGCGGGCTACACTGGCTGGAACTTCGTTCCACAAGGTGCTGATCAAAAGGCACCTGCTGTGCGCAGCCGCATCAGGAATGAGACAGTAATGCCTTATTCCCTGCACCCTCGGGTTAGGCCAACTCCCTGCAGCCGAGCAGGTCAGACTGTTGAGGCGTCGGCTCTGGGTAGGGTCCCCAAAGAAAACCCTACATTTTCCCACTGCCTCGTGGGTCAGGCTTTTAAGTCAGAGGCTAGGGTCAGGGTCCGCGAACAAAACTTCACTCTCCCACTGCCTCGTGGGTCAGGCTTTTAAGTCAGAGGCTAGGGTCAGGGTCCGCGAACAAAACTTCACTCTCCCACTGCCTCGTGGGTCAGACTTTTGAGTCAAAGGCTCAAGGTGGGTTACCTCAACCAAACCCCCTTCCTCGGCCTGGGCAACCGGGAAGTATCATTTGCCCGCGCAGTTCAGCGTCTACCGATGACCCGCTTTCCCAATGGAGAATCAGGTTGTACAGAATCGATATGCGATTGGCCACATCGGACGCAATTCGTTTTCATTTGGATCGCAAGCCTCCTAGCAAAAGACCCCCTTCCAATATGGCTTCATGGTTGCGTATGGCATTCGGGAGCGATGGGTTCGTTTACTGCTGGCCTCTCCAAAACACGATCAGCTCGCTAACATGATCAGAGCTGATTGTTTGGTTTTTCTCAAAATTGTTCCAGAGTGGGTATTTTATCAAGAACGGATTGGTCTCTCAATGAAAGAAACTCCCGCAACTACCGAATAAAGCCAGTAACGTGAAATTTCGTAGGCCAAAGGAGGTCATATAGCATTCTGTTGTTGAAGAATGACACAGATACATGAATTTGTCGTTCAAATTCCAGTTCGCAGTAGAATATTCGTAACATAATTGGAAGATCGGATACGTTTTTTCTTTCTTAGGAGCTTTCACTTTGCAACCTGCGAAAGTTTGTTTTTCCGCTCTTCATCATCGTCACCAATATCAGAGACAGTAACATCAGTGTTGACATTGATGCCTCATCTCATTATATTTCAAGCCTTATAATGAAATAAGACGAAAAGGGTGGATGAGAAAAGGACACTGGTGCTGGTTTATCGCAAGCATTTTGGAATACCCACACCCCCAAGCGTTCAAATAGACAATCTGGAAACAAACTGATGGCACGAATGCTACTGACATCGACTAGTCTCCATTCCTTTTAATGTTCCCTGCCAAGCACAGGAAGGTTCATGCAGGCCCTATCCTGGAAGACGCACCGCGCCAAAAAGGCCCAAACTTTGTAATCTCTTTCTCAAGCTCCTTCCAAGTGATACGTTGTCTATCCCGCGGTTTGCGCCATTCTGAAAGAGGCACGAAGATCAACACTACTCTCGTCAAGTGGTATTTAGGCATGCGTAGCACATGACCGAGCCACCGTAGTTGATAGTGCTTTCCACGACTGGAGTATCCGCTGCACAAATAATTCGTTCAGCCGTAACACCTTCTCGGTGCCTAACTGCCGTGATACCAGAAGGAAACACGGGGGCTGGGATACTACCAGGTCACCCTAGACTGGGGAAGTCGAGAGGTAGAAGTCGGGTTCGAACCACGGACCTTTCGGTCAGTAAATTCACGATCTTATCACTGAGCCATCTCGCCAACTCGCACAGATAATTACCCGTTTTCTAGTTACGTCGTTGCTCTTCACACTGAATTGAACAAAATTATTTGTAGCCCCGCAATAATAATGGTGGACCCTCATTGCGTAAGCACTCTATCTACTAACTCAAAACTTGTAAGCGTCATTCTGTGCTGCGTTTCAATACGCTAGACATACCTGCCTCAACCACTGGACTAAAACATTTTGCGTAATGATGTGAACTTCTATCCAAGATTTCATCCTGAAAGTAAGTTCTCACATGTGAATAAAAACCGACGGGTTAGGTAGGTATTATCCGTGTTGACACCATCAACAGCGAGCATCTAATGAAGGCTAATTGAACCTGCGAATCGCGAGACAGTTGTGTGGTGAACTTTCAAGAACTTGCAAGAATATAACGCTATCCAGCTTTCAGTGGCACAGCTTACATCACAAGATCTGGTGTTAACTGGTTTTTCAGGCGACCTCTGAAAAAAAAGCGCTGTGAATTTTTCGGATATACGCCTTCTTGAACAGATTGACTTTAATTTGTACGTGGTGAAAAGATGGCGAATTCCTAACAGGAAGTTCTAGCAAGTTAATAGCCAGAAGACAAACCCAAACGATAGGAGAGAGAGAAGGCGCTCCAAGTCGATACGAAGGGGATGGCCAACTTCCTCGGCTTTTTCAGGGATAAACTTCATGCATTCCTTTGGGTCTGATAGCCCCACACGTCTATTCACCTCCCCAATATTTGAAATGTGCATGAAATTTTAACAGTGGAATCAACAGATGACCTGCGAGTTCTCAATAGGATTGGAATAGGTTTGGATCCATAACCCAGCACCTCAAATTACCCATTAACATGAGCGGACAAAATACCCCAGGTACCACCACCTACGCCAGGACGATTGTCAGTCGCCTAGTTTCGGCAAATCACGGCTGACACTGGAAAACAGGTTGCAAAGGACAGTCATAGTCAATTCGGACAAATATACCTCATTCAACAGCAGCCACGATATGTTCGCTTCCGGATAGCCGCAGGTAGTCTCACAAGTTAGTTGAAGCCCTAATCCTGGTCGCAGGTCATAAGGGTTCGTCCGTGTCCCGAGACCAACGTGCTGGGCGGGTGGTTGACCCGGGGTACCGGATACGGTTGAGGATGATGAAGACTTTGATAGCTTGGCCAATACAGGAGATCCATCCACCGGGGTTATTCGATCGTTTTCGCTTTTGAGTGGATTGAATGGTAGACTTGTAACCGCCATTTTCTTCAACTCGGCCGGTGCTAGATAAAGAAGAGGCATAAGTTACGTACAGATACATGATACATATATTACAAGACGAGAATCTAGGATGAATAACTATCAACGAATATCCTACGTGTTTTAAACCCTTCCACAGTGCGATGAAGTGTGCAGACCAAGTTTCGACTCCATTAGGCGCCGGGAAGCCGTCCAGGCAATGGATATTTAAGCAAATTCCAAGTTACACAGATAGCAAACTGAAAACAGAATGTGTAAGAGATAGTCAATACAGACATTTGAGTGGAATCACAACCATAGGATTTTGACCGTTGAAATCTCAAAATTGACAGACATGCGTAGGGCAAACCAGTCAGGCTCGTTTGCTAAGCGTCGTACGAAGCAAAAATGAGAAATGACCAGAATGATTCGACAGACAGGTACATAAAATTTGTCACGCAAAAACCGTATGAGGTAGTCACAGCCAGGTTATCCTCACCTGTGTAATTGGCGTAAATTTTTAAAACTAGATAAAACAGTACACAAGTCTAGTACTTGTTTTCCGCAGCTCTTCATTCAGGTTGACCGATGAGGCGAAAGCTCCATCTGTTAATTACGTTTTATGGTGTTCACACCCAACTTTAGGTTTCTGGTAACGTCAAACTTAGCCCAGCGATTCATTGTATGCTGGGATTAAGAGGTATTACTAAAGCAATAGGTGCGTTGAGCTATTTCGAAGATCACCGGTTTGCTGGATGCCAAGGCGATTCTCCTCTGCTCTACCGTTCGCGTGTCGGCTTGTTGCAGCCGTGCATGGTCTCTTGTGTCCTGTTACGCATCAGTGATCGGTTCTCGTGTTTCCTGAGGGCATCTAGTCATCTTCGGCTCAGTAGTAACAATGTAAGAAGACTTGTTTCCAGGTGAGATACTCTGGATGAGGAAACAATGCCACCTGTAAATCAATCCGCCAATCACTGAGCATAGTTTTCTCTAATCCACCTGGTTAGCTGAATTTTAATGACTTCATGATGAGAAATTCTTAGACACACTGGCTGCAGACGAACGCCGAAGCCTCAGTTACACAGGGTAGCTAAACAGTTAGTCCGAATGAATAGGTGAAATACGCTCACACGTTGAGAAAAAGTCAGAAGTATGAATGATGAAAGCAGACACCTTGTGTCATAAAAATGCTAAAATGTAATCAGCGCTTTCCCAGTTTAGTTGTCTTATCCTGAGGTGTCGACCGTCATTACAGAGTGGCACTGGAAAATCGGTATTTAAAAAGACTCCTAGGTGCCAAAAACCTCAGAGAGATCTGCAGGAAGATCTCAAGCAGGGATCAGCACATCCTCCGTCGAGACTTAAAGCGAAAAAATTTTCGATTGCGACTGTATGAGGGAGTTTTTAACCTTTGTCTGCTCATGTCTGCTGGTTTCTGCTAGGCTATACAAACTCTGACGTCGAGCTTTAATCAATCAACGCACACGGGACCAGCTGATAGTGATAAGAGTCGGAGTAGCCTGCGGATACAGCCCAGATTTACGTTGCCTCGTTTGTTCCAACAATCTTCTAAGCTTTGCTTGTAACTATCAATGGATTTTCTGAAGGTGCACTTTATATGGAATCCTGATCGGTTGTGTCTGGAAAACATTCGAAGCCCCGAGGAATAAATGCGTTGCCATTTGGCGTCTGTCCCAAGACACTTTAAGACGGGAAAATCTTTGATAACCCACTACACGTTTTTACCATTCTCCGGACTCTCACGCAGCGTCGGTCACGACAAAGCCATGCGGGGAGCCTGAGTGACAGGCGCCTTCGGAAGAACTATAAGTGCATCACTTTGATGTGCGGCAAAACCAATGGAACCATGTTTTTTTCTAATTTTCAACCTACACCACCATCGACTTCCAACTAGTCAAGCATCTTCACCGGACGTCTGGCAAACCGATCACATGGTTCAAACGTGAACACGTTCACCTTTCACAGGCAATAAGTTAGGTTCGTTCAGCATATGCTGGGGAAGTATCGGAAACACGCTCACCTCGCATGTCAGATATTGGCACAATTAAGGATGTGCACTGTTGATCAGCTCTAATTAGAGCGAAACCCGAGTCCAGTGCTTTTCTGCCTTGTTGTGAACTCAAAAGAATAGTTGCGCCAAGACAGGAACCGGACTGCTTTTAAAAGAGGGTGGCGTGAATCCGAATTCCACAAATCCCGCACCACCTAAAGCGAATAGTCCTCAGTTTCCATCCAACAGTACTAGTTCACCACCATCGACTTCACACGAGTCAAAATTTTCACTCCATCATGTGCTCCATTCCATATGAATAAAAATATGGTCTTCTCAGGAACTCCGTATCCTGTACATCTGGCTACATGCAAGCGAATGTGTTTTGTGTGTAGGGTGTCTGCGATTTAGGGGATAATTTGAGCTCAAACTATAAAAAGGAATACTTCGGCGTCCGTGTATGCAGGATATTTATTTTTCGCGGGCGAAGTTGCAAAGTAAACCTCGTAGGATCAGGGGGATTTGGTCGGGACGGTTCAAATGTTGGGCGAGATGGCTCAGTGGTTAGAGCGTGAATTTGCTAACCGGAAGGTTTGTGGTTCGAACCTGACCTCTGCCTCCCGACTTCCCCTGTCTGGGCTTGGGCAACCTGGCAGTATTCCGACCCTCATGCTTCCTTCTGGTGACTAGGCAGTTAGGCACCGAANNNGCTGATTGATTATCTACTACAAGTGGTTAGGTGTCCTGCAAACACCACTTAAGAGAAGAAACAGCCTTTGGTGATTGAGGTCCCCTAATAATAATTATTATAAATAATAATAACACTCGTTCGGCTGACACTCTTTCGGCGTCTAACTGCCTTGACACTGGAAGGAAGCACGAAGGCTGGGCTCAAGCCGAGACAGGAGCAGTTGAGGTGCAGAGGTTAGGGTCGAACCAAGGACCTTCCGGTTACTAAGTTCGCGCCTTAATTATTGAGCTATATCGAGCTGGAGGTCACTAAGGCAGCCCTCTGGCGGTCTGCACAACACTAAATGCAAAATAGATAGCAGATTCCTACCTGACGACTGAACAATCCGACAAAGACTTGATATTCTCGTATAAAACCGAATCTATACACACCGTCAACCGACCGGAATCTCGGTCATTGTACCAAAACACTGTTTTATTGGATGGGCGGGCTCACCATCCAAAATTGAATCCCAATGAAAGCGTCTGGGGAATCATTATGGGGCGAATGTATGAAAGCGATCGTAACCGTCACACAATTGCATGGCAAGCTCCAAAAATGTATCCCGCACTCGTGAAGTAGTCAGTTTCACAATCAAATTGTTTTGGTCGTAAAAACGTTTCGCATCCTCATAGCACGTTGTGTGACGTTCCCACGGGATTTCGCGCCCAATCGCAGCAGCTCTCAAGTCTCACGATCTCAAAATCGAAGGGCACAGAGTAGGTGGGGTCGTAATATCATCACTGTGTGCGTTACAATAAATAGTTCACCGATCATGGGCGAAAAAAAGAATTCACATTCATGTGCGCGAAGTAAGAAGTGAAGGCTGATCGAGGACACTAGCTCTCAGAAATGACTGCGGTTTTTACACACAGGTATTTCGCTCGTAACTAGAGCTGAGGACTCCGTCCGTTCCATTCGATGAGACGCTACTAGGTACGCTACAGATTTTCTTTGAACGAAAGTTGAGTGGCTCATTTGCTCTTAGTCTCACAGCAAAGAGGTGTCCAATCAATCACATATGATCAGAAAGATTGAAAAGAACACGGTTGTCATGGCTACAAACGACGACAGCCCTTCCGTGAGAATCGATTTTGAGATATCCTGTACCGAAAACTGTTCGGTGTAGTAAATCCAGCGATGGCTTTACCAAACGCGTACTTGTTCACATGATAAGAACGTAAGCCTCATATCAATGGGCGTGTATAGCGATCAGCCCTCACGCAATCAACCTAGAGTATTCCGTTCCTTAGACAGGGCGGACTGGTAAGAAGGGGGAATAGGAATCCTCTTAAGTGCAACCATTCCTCAAAGTGAAGTGGTTATTCGCACTTCCATGGTTGGTGTGTTTACCGATTCGGCTGCGCTTTCGGTTGACGCTTTCTGGGGAACCCCGAAAACAGTTATCGATTGTTTGTAAAATGATTGACGCAAAACTGAGGGTAGTGAAAAAGGTGTTCTGATGTGGCATGAAAATTCAATGCGTATTGGCCAGAGGACACCACATCGAGATTACATGGTTGACTACAACCCATTTGTGGTGGACTACAGTAAGAATGTTCACCAAATCACTGTAATAAGCGAAAGCGCAGGACCAGACAGAGACGATCGAAATCTCATTCGTCCTATTTGCCTGCAGGGGCCGAGATGGCCTAAGTGGTTAGAGCGCGAATTTACTGACCGGAAAGTCCGTGGTTCGAATCCGACTTCCGCCACTCGACTTCCCCTGTCTAGGCTTGGGCAACCTGGCAGTATTCCAGCCCTCGTGCTTCTTTCGGGTGGCATGGTAGCTAGACACCGAAAGGGTGCTACAGCTGAACGCTTTCTTTGATTTGCCTGCCTCATGCGTTCAAAACGCACTACACCTATGTAACAAGTTGGAGGAGAGGTACCACCCACATGCAGCTATGTTTGCATTGATGATATAACCCCTTGGTACTTTGCAAATGTGACACCATGGCCCGTGATATAGTCCCAACTACCAACTTGTGGGGTTGATGGCAAAACTTACTGTGTTACTACTCCCAAAATGAGCCACCTACCTCAAAGCATCTCTTCTAGGAATTCCTATTCCCCGTGGAAATGACTGATATGTCATCTCCCCTGTGCATAGTCCGCGGAATGAGCTTGATGTACAATGTCGAGTGTTGTGGAAATATGATGGCGCAAGCTAGTCGTTTTCCAAACATATGCAATTTTTGTTTTCTTCCTGAGAAGAAGCAGAGTGCTGCAAAATAGTCGCGATGACTGGAGACCAGCTGGGGGTCTGATAAACGCGGAACATCCGCACCTAAGCACTTCAT